AAAAATTGTTGCAAGTTGCTTTAAACGCACATCTTACTGAGATCAAAGTTGTAAAACAAGAAGTGTTCAAATTTTTAAGGAGCACAAAGTGGGGAATCCTTCATTTTTGTTAGAAGACAACAATCCCAACGTGTTTTCCTTAAGATTATAGACACATTAAAGCATGGCCTTTATTAATATTCACCTGGTTTATATGTCAGAACCCTGGAAGAGTGAAATTAACTGGCTTATGCTCATTTAGAGCAGGTGCAGCCTGCCTGCTGCCACCCATGCAGAGCATCAGCTTTGCTTTTTTCCTACCCAAAAAGCCCGTGACAACTAGAAACTCCTCACTTGCTGCAAACAGATGGCAAATTGTCTTACCTGGTTTCTGCCGTCGTCACAGAAGAAGAACAGAGGAGAGGAGGGGGGGGGGTCTCCCTCTATCGCGGGTCTTTCTTCCCCGCTGCCAGTTGAGAGCAGCTGTAGGAGCAGCAGCAGCGGTGCAGCAGCGAGCTGCTTTGCATCTTCCGAAAGAGGTGTTCCCGGAGAGGAGGAGACGGCCGGAGCTCCCCTCAGCTGTCTGCGGGAGAGGAGGCTCTGCTCCTGCTGAGGCGGCGGGGGAGAGGGAGCGGGATGCGCAGCCAGGAGCGCCGAGCACCGTCACAGCGCTAGCGCTCTGCCGGGGCACTGCAGCTGCCTGGGCGGACACGAGGGGGCGCTGATGTGCGAAATGCCGTCCCACAACGCTGTGCCCGTTCACGCTGGCAAGGGAGTGTCCCAGGAAGATGAGACGAAATTGCAAGGTTAAAACTGGGATATTACACAGCACCGGGAAAACAGTCTCCTTCCAATACAGTTATCCAATTCAAGCCATTTCAACTTTAGTGGTTAGGATAAAATGCCCAAATGTTTTATTTTGAAACAGAAATGTGTTCATACATTTTTTTTTTTACTTTTGGTGGTGGTGGTTTTTGAAAGAGTCAATTTATTGATCTATTACTCTCCTTGATGTTTTTTCTTTTTTTTTTTTTTTTTTTTTTTTTTTTTTTTTTTACATCAATAAAGATTTGGAGAAGGGGTCTGTCATTAAGTGGGGATGCATCCATGCACTGAACCCATCAAACATCATGCAGGACCAAGAACACAAAGTTTTGGGTCTATAAAGTGAACATTTATAAAAGCTCTAAATATACATATATATATATATTTTTCGCAAAGTACCGTAAATTATGCAGCATTGAAAAGAGGTCATATTTTGTGGTGTCCAAGCTTTAGTGGGATCAAAATTAATCTCAAGAAGCCAAGTCTTACATACTGTTGTTAAAAATTTTGAGTAAAAGGATAAACATGGCATCTTGGACAGTTGACAGAATGATCTGAACTCAAGAGCTGTTTTGACGGTGCATTTGTTTTTGGCATTTCTGATGTACTCTAATCTGACATTGACAGAACTGAACCTCTGGCTTTTATTGGTCTCAAGGCTGTTGCAACTGCCATCCTTGAACCTGTCACAGAGCGCTACACTGGTCTATCGCTTTAGAATCATGAGGAAAGACATTCCTGTACGTTGCAATAAGAACAGTGGTTTTACTAGAGGTCTTTGTGACAAAATAGCCTTGTTATGACATCTTGCAGTCATGGTTCTTATTTCCTTTGCTCACACTACATTTTGTTGCAGGGATATAAAATAAACAGATTTGCAGAAACAATTTCATGGAACAACAGCATCTGAACAGATCATCAGTTCATGTCAGCAAGGATTAAGACATAAGACATTCGGATCAAAGTCAGAGGGTAAAAAATCTCTGAAATTTGTGTTCTGAAAGGCAAAAATCCAAAACTGTAGTTTTTATGAGCAATTTCTTTGGAATGGATTGCAGGCATCACTTGCATTCTGTACGGATACCCTCAAAAATCCTTGCAATAAATTGGAAAAGAGAAATATCCACAGTTTTAATAAAGGTTAACTGGGTTCAGCTTTGCCTTTTACCTTCATTCGGACTGAACTGCTTCTGTTCAAGTGGGACATCTTGTGGCTCTTTTAAAACATTACATCCACTGAACCAGGGGAGTCAAACTCCAGTCCTCGAGGTTGAATGTCCTGCAATGCTCAGGTCTTCAACGCACCTGATTCAAATGGATAGATTACAGCAGAGACACGTCTGAAAGTTGCAGGAAACCTATGTTTTAAATCAATTACACCATCAAAGGTTCTCTCAAAACTGCTTAAACTAGCATTTTGTATCTTGAATTGGAGGTGGAGGGAAGCCTTTGTCCATCAGTGCATTCAGGACTTTCACCTCTAATTAATACAGAACCACCAGCCAACAGGTAGAACCTGCCTCTTTATGAATCTGACTTGTTTGTCCAGTACGACCCGCAGAAGCTTGAGTAGATTCCATCAATGCACCCAAATTTCGGACCTTGTCACTAGTTTCTAGCTGTAATAACTGCAGCTGCGTGCCTGATTCCAGATCGTTCCTCTTCAGATCCAAAGATAACTTCAGTTTTGTTCCTGTTCAGGTGAAGAAAATCATGGCACCTCCATGCATTGATTTGTTCTCATTTTTTTCAGCGCTCAGATGAGTACAAAGTCAATTGGTGACATTCTAATGTAGAGTTGTGTATTATCTGCATAGTTATGGTAACTAATCTTATTACTTCTTGTGATCTGAGCTAGCGGAAGCATCTATGCATTAAACAGAAGGGGCCGCATGATTTGAAATTTGAGGTACTCTTTATGTGAAGTCTGCTCCAATGAGAAGACACAAAGAAGTCCCTGGTCTTTATGTAAGATTGCTGTACCTGAGAGTCCAGTCATTTTAAAATGTCATATTCAAAAGTGTCAAAAGCTGCACTGTTTTTTCACAGTCTGTATTAAAATGGATGCCACTGAACAATGTGAAGTCTCAGCACTGTGGTGAGAACGAAAACCAGGCTGAAAGACATCAAAGCAGCTGGTCATCATAAGAAACTCACTGTTCAAACAGTTTTTTCAATCATTTTCCTGAGTTAGTTTAGATAAATCTTACAGGGAGCAACTACCACAGCAGGTAGACTAACATGTCAGCACTAGCAAGAAGATTGTGGGAAATTTGCAGTTTCTTGCTGTGTGTTGATGAGCAACTCCAAATGTACAGCCAACAATAACTTTGCTGTCGGCCTTTAGTTAAACACAGGTTTGCTCATATGACTTTTATGGTGCAAACTAATAGGTATGACCTATGAGACTTGAATGGTTTTACAAGTATTTTGGGGAAAGTGAGTGATGAGAACATTATGGCCTGTGGCGTTTGGGAGGAAGATAAAGCAAATTACTAAGCATATCTATGTCAAGTAGAACATCTGACTTTTGTATAGCAAACCAAACAATCTTTTTGTCACCATAAAAAGTATATTCAAGAATCATCTACTTTGGAACTATGTGTATAAATCCCAATAGTATTGTGTTTCATTCAGCTAAAAAAAAACAACAAAAAAAATCTAGCCTGACAGATCTAGTATTATTCACAAGTAACTGACAAACACATTCAGTTGAAGAATGAAAGAGTCCATAGTTAAACTCTTGTTTTGAAATTTCACCTTTTAAAAACTTGGTGCGCTCCAAGACGACATCATCTTCAGTCAAAAGTCTTTGATGGCCCATTAAGCGCAGGTAGCTTATGTGCTTAATGGGCAGGCAAAATTCTATTTGACTCCAACCTGTGCCCAGTGCAACTTTATTCAGAAGTGCCATAGATGCTTCCATGACTTCCAACGTCGACACATGGACGACTGGATCGTTCTATTCAGTCGTGCTGCAGGAGTTTGGTGAGGCTTTCTGTTGAAGAAAGCAAAGATGCTGAAAAGCTGACCATCGACACTCACATTAGGAGCTACAACATAAGCTTTTATCGTGAAGTATTTCTAGTGATGTGTGTTTACCCTCCAGCATGCAGTTAGACCTCAGCTGAAATACATCAGCTCCCCCTGCCGGGTGTTCCAGTTCAAGACAACCGCCTCCTTGATGGATGAGGATTCGCTGGCATTCAGGCAGTAGAACCTGTAGGTGTTTGTAACTCCCACTACTTGATATTCTCCTCCAGCGTCAACCAGATTTAAATCTTGTTCTGAAGAGACAAAGAAGAGTGTCACGAAACAATTGAAAAAATTGAAACGGGCTCGTAAAACTTGTTTTTATTTCTCACCAATACTAGGAAAGGAATTCCCAGCTGCAAATTTGTAGAGTTTGTCATTTTGGTCCACTCCCCAGATCCTTGCCTGTCAACTGGTTCTGGAAGTGTTTCAGGGGGATTTAATGGAAGGATGATGATTTTTCCTTTTCTGATACTTTAATAAGGTCTTGTTGTTTTAATGGCAGCACTTAATTATTCCGTTACAAAAATGCTTCTTGGTCGACTGGCACACAGTGTTCCTGATCTAGCATTGTTTCCCAATATCATAATTTTTGCGTCATTCCACAAGTACCTCTCGTTCTTGGGAATTTTTCTCCGGACCTTTTTCTCAACAATAATTTCACTTTCATAACCACAAAACGTCCCAGAGTTCCTGGTGACCCAGTAGGTGTTTACATTTGGGATCGCCTGCTGTTTTGGCTCAAGTGTGACTTGTTGAGTGCCTTGGTGTTGGTGTGGGGTACAATTTGTTGTTCTGTCTGTCAAGTTAGAGCTGCTTCCAGCTGGTCCTTCTTCGTTGGGGCTCCTCAACTTCTTCGGTCAGTGACTTTAGTGTCAGGTCTAGGTGTTGGGATGTGAGGGTTTGGTTGATTCTTCTGCGCAGTGGAGAGTTGGAGCGCTGGTCATCAGCTTCTGCTGGTGAGCCTTATCTATGAGGACCTTTCAAATAAAGAGAACCCTATAAGCCAACTTACATCTCAAAGTCTGCGACCATCATATTTCACTCTACGACCCAATGGTTGATAGTAAATCGGAAGAGACAACTCCCATCAAATTAAATACTAATGCACTAATAGCAAAGTTTACAGAGTTGTCATGGGAAAAGAGATACTCAAACAAGAATCTGGATCAGAAGACGTAACAAATTTATTAAAACTGTAAAGTGAGAAGAAAAGTACAGATTCAAAGGAGTCTGTGAAGTCTGCTGTCCATTCTGGCTGTCTTATATTGTCTCTATTTGTGGACCTTTCCCAGCAAATGGAAGAGAAGCTTTATTGAACTACAAGTGTGATGTGCATTTTTATACAAGGACTTTGCGGAGCTCATAAGAGAAGGCTTTGGTATTTACCTTTTGGTAAAACCCCCCCCAAAAAACAACAAAAAGTAGATGTTGTGTTTGATGTTAAAAAACAGCTTTTATATTTTTCAGATTGGGAAAGTAACACGAAGATTAGTCCCAAGAATCAAACACCCATACTGTTTTATGACGCTGTAAATGTTTCAAAGTTTCAAAAATTCAAATACATAGGCAATGCAATTCGGCTATTATTATTAAAAGAATGTTGAGACGAATACAAGGTTTGTGGAACGTTATTGCAAAACGTACCACATTATCACATTATCATTTTTAAAAAAAAGTGGCCTCCACATTTTGCAATCATGCATGATGCAACAGAAACTATTACAATACATGTTCAAAGATTTGACTACATTTTGCATGATGTCGGTTCTAAATATGCTTCATCACGTATTGAAGCTCAACATTATTACATATTAAGGCATTATAAAGCAGCATTACAAACCTCTTACTATGATTCAACAAGAGGCCCAGGCTGTTCTAGAGCGGATAATAAAGCACACATAGGACTGAACCACAGAAGGCATGAAAAGAGGTTTAAGTGAGAACTTCCACCTGGTTATTTTGTGCATTTCAGAATGAAACCTGTATCAGTCACAAGCCACAGATACCCCAGGTCGTAGCTGGCATGTTTGATCTTCACAGGCATTTCAATTTTCTTCCAATCTGAGCCCTGTGGAACACTGCCAGAGATGCCAGCTCTGGAAAGTAGAAGGTGTTGTTTAGTGGCTGTTTTAAAGTAAATCATCTCTGTACTTTCCACATTTGGAACCAAAATGTATCGGAGGGTTTCACCTTTCGTAGAGCACTCCATTTTGATTTACAAGAAAGGTATTTTCGTCACTCCCAACTTCAACATTGACTGCCTCTCCAGCGATGCGGTTCCAGCCTCCAGACATGTCGCAGGAGTTTGAGATTTTCTTTCAAAGTAAACAAAGATGGAAACAAGCCCATTAGTGAATATTATAACACAAGTTACAGCAAGAGCTCGAAGACACAACTTTACTGTGAAGTAGATCCATTGTTCTGCGTTCACACCCCAGCATCCAGTTGGAGCGCAGCTGAAATAAATCAGCGTACCACTGACGGTGCTCCAGTTCTCGAGCTCCTTTATGGATGAGGCTCTGTTGGCATTCAGGCAGTAGATGTTGTCATTGCTAGCAACTCCCACTACCTGACCATGTCCTCCTGCATCTACCTGCTTTAAATCCAGACCTGAAGACACAAAGAACAGCATCACACAAAAAAAATTAAAATGAGAACGAGGCCCAACCTGTAAACTCTGGCTCTGAAAAATAAAACTCACCACGAGTGGGAACAAAATCGCTGGCAACAAATTTATAGACTTTATTCTGCTGGTTGACTCCCCAGATCCCTGGAGGCCCCACTGAGACATGCTTAAGAGGCACAGAGCCCAGTTTGGACCAACTTGATCCATTCAAGAAGAAGGTGTTGGAGTTTCTGTCCGTCATCACAACCATCCCCTGGCCGGCATCGATCTGGGCTGCAGGAAACTGCTGCGGAGCAGCGCTGCAGTTCCAACCTGTAGAGAGGAACCAAATCATAAAATAAATGCATAAAACACACTTTTGTGCATAAATTTAATGTAATTTTCTGTCAATACTTCACAAGGTCATCACCTCCTGATAGCACTATTTGAACAAGGCAGGCCTTTGGCTTCACTCCATGGTCCCTAAGGCTGGACACAGCCAGGCAGCACTGAACTAACCTGAGGTTTATTGGACAAAATAGGCAAGTGGTCGATCACTGTAGAGTTTTAACTGACTCTACAGTCAGTTTATTCTGATTTTATAACTAGATAATAATCTAATAATAATCTATTAGGTCCACCAAGGGATTTTGCAGATAAAAACGATTTTACAGTTTTCTAACAATTGACACTGATGACTCCTAAGCCAGTCTCTAGTCCTGCTTACTGTGTGTGATGGCAAGATAACTCTAGGTCCTCTTGGTGGTAAGTTGTTAGAAATAGCAGACATGTCATGTCATGCTTTTACCCCAGACCAATGGAAAGTCATGCTGACTTTGTCAAAACTAATTTCTCAACCTTGAATTTTTTTTTTTTCACCACTGAATAAATGTGCCCAGATGAAATATTACATTGTCCTGTCTAATAACATGAGCACAATGATGCATTTTAATGCACAATCAAGTTACTGTTACCTTCTGTTGGTAGAAAAATACTGAATATATCAAACATGACTTAACACAAATCTTACTGGAAAATGTCATGCCTTGAAATCGGGCCTCTCTCTTTTTTTCCTTCACCTGCCTGTCTGCTTTGGTATTAAGTATTTCAAATATTATCATTGTGATTATAATCAAAATGCTCATTGCCAAGCAATACAGCTGCAGTCAAGTTAGTATTACGACATTTGAAGTAGATATCACATTGTTTGACCGTGGCAGCTCCACCATACCTTTTGATACGAGTGGAAAAAAAGAGACACAACAGAGTTCATAGTTTTTTGTATTCTGTTGCACTGGGGACCCACGCCAACAAAACCCAAAGCTGTCCAACAATCTAAAATATAATTTTTTTGTGATTTCAGTACAATGCTTTGCTATTTTGACAAACCTCTTGACAATTGTAGATTTCCAACCATTTCGGAGAGGTTAGCTTTGAGAGTGGTGGACAGCTTGTCCTCGGTCGGGTTGTCCTTGATGTCGGAAAGACTTGCTGCCAGGTAACGAGCTGAAATATGCCAACAGACATGTTCGTGAAAAGAAGACTCGTTTTGAAAGCATGCAGCTTTAAAAACACAAGCAGCACGTCAACTCAAACGGAGGCAAACGAAGAAGTGGTGCTGAAAACCAGTCAAACACATGTAATACTTACTTTCAGTAAGCTTTGTCCTTTAAAACCCTGATATTTAGTTCGTTTGATTTCAGAAGGGGCTGATGACATCAGTTATTACTGCAGCATAGTTTACTCTTCTCATATTGAAGATGAGTAGAAGAAGACTCACAGTGTATGCCGAGGGCGATGAGTCCAACCAGCAGCACAACATTCAGGATTCCCAAAAATATAATAACTTCTAGGTGAAGTCTCTTCTTGGAGCTGCTTGAGCCTTAGCAAGCAAAATGAATGTTTTTAATAATAACTTAAAAAATATAATAATATTAATAATAATGACAAAACACATAAAGCGTTTCTCTGTCATTTCATTCTTACCGCTGTCGTTACGAGTTCGGCAAGCGGGTTCATCAGAATCTAAATTCCCATAAGTGTTTTCCATTGCTTGATCCTCAGCGCCGGCCGTCTCGCACTGACCATAAAAATCTGCTGCAGTCCTTAAGTTAAGTGAAAACTGCAGAAAAGAGCCATGTCACCTTCTAGGAAGTACCATGATTGGAGATAATGGCAGAATAAAGAAACTCGTGACCACAGTTTCAACATAAACTTCCTGAAAGTGCCATCGGTTTCATAAGTGCAGATTTGCTGACTTTGCTCTGAGTTTCCTTAGTTTTGAGTAAAATTGTTTTATATTGATCAGCTCTTGAACTAAAGACATCTCTACCTTGATCCTTTTCTTTGCCACTTCCCTCTTGCTACGTTTGCTCCCTTCACACTGTCTGAAAAGTAGGTCCCAAATATTCTTACTTTTTAATCGTTTCTATAAGACATTTGGTTTTAAAAGAATCAACAACTCACCGTGTTTCGTTTAGTTTGTACTTTTAAAGCAAGTATCTATATGGTGAGGTTGTGTCGACTGGTTTTGGAAGAATATCAGGAGATTTAAGGAGGGGAAAGTTTGCTCCTTTAGCAGGGTGTCATTGCCATACTTATTGCACTTAATTATTCCTTTACAGTGTGATGTAAAGGAATCTCCTCCTGTCGTTCTAAAATCCCGATGTGACGCTTTCAACCAAGAAACGCATGAACAACACGGTTTATGAACAAGGGGGGACAAAAATGCTCAAGGTTGACTGGGGCACCAGGCACGGCCCTTGGCACTTTTTCTGTGAGCTAAAAATGAATGAGCTCCTCCTGTCGTTCTAAAATCCCGATGTGACGCTTTCAACCAAGAAACGCATGAACAACACGGTTCCTTTTCAAATCTACTTGAAGTAAATGCATTTGAATTGACTCTCTGGACTCCAATCACTCAGCATTCATTCATCTGTCCATCCATCTATCTCTAGCAGGAACAGGTCATTTGGTTATGTAGTGTGAAAATAGAGGGAACAGAGAATTTATACTGCAATGCAGTGGTTCAAGGAAGAAGTGACGTTGTATAAAATATTTTAGAAAACAATATATTAGAAGCTTTTCCCGTCCATGGTCATAGTCCAAGTGCTGGAATATGGCGCATCAAGTGGATATTATGCAAACTATAAAATGTGATAAAATGATGTTGATCAAATAATCTGTTTTATTTGTGCAGCCTGAGGCAACTGCCATATTTCTTCACTTGTCTTTTATCTATTGTACTTTCTTTTTTTTGTGATTTCCTATGTTACTATGGAGATTGCCTCGCTCCATCAGTAGTTAGCTACTGTTCAATACATGCATGTTCTGATGGCTGAACACAAGTAAGCAGCAAGACAGCTTTGTTTAATCTGTCTCAACTAAAAAGAATACAATATACTGCACATTAAGAACTCCAGTTATTGTGTCCTGTGAGGCTAAGTATTTCCTGGGCTACATAAATATAAATATCTACTCATTTTACCTGAGTAAATATTTAGCGTTGCGCTCCAGAAAACTGCAAACATCGAGACCAATATGAGCAGCGCAATAAGCAGAAAAGCAGCCATGAAGCAGCTTGTCCGTAAAGCTGCACAACTCAACGCCATTATAATCTGTAAGATTAAGATAAGTGTCACAAATCTGTGCAGCAATTTGAGTTGTGGAGCTGCTGTGCGCTGCGCTCTGACAGCAAACCCAGGGTCGTCTACGTGCTGGTCGTCGCTGACTTCTTTTATTTCCCCCATGCAGATAAAAGAAGATGATGACTTTTTTATTATTTCATAATAAAAATGTAATTTTTTGTCTGCCATCTCCCTCTGTGTTAAATTGGAAGTCGAAGGGACATATTCCAATTTTTAAAAATCTAGATCATTTTGTATAATACATTTTTATTCGTAGAGGGGTCACAAGTGGTGCTGGTGCTTAACAGTCATCTTTTTAAACTGGGAGGAAGCCGGAGTACCCGGAGAGAACCCACCACGCACAGGGAGATGATGAAAACTCCATACAGAAAGACCCCAGGCCGAGAATTGGACCTTCTTGCTGCAAGGCGACAATGCTATCAACTGTGCATCCATTTTTAAGGAACATTTAAAGATAAAGTTCAATATGATTGAAAATAATTGCTGTGGCAATTATTTAGTTCAAGGTAAAAAACCTAAACATGGCAGAGTAATCAAGGGACCTTGTTACCAGAATCAGGCGTGGAGGCTTCTTGGGGTCGGGTCCGATGAGGGCATGGAGAGCTGTCACGGGGGAGAGATCGACGGGGGAACTGGGTGTCATCACTATACCAGGACGATGGAGGAACAGAGAGGCGACTTGATACCTGGAACAACCGAGGAGCAGAGAGGCAGAGGCACAGGGGGGCGTCATGGAGCCGAGATCGACAGTCGCATAACATCTTTAAAAGGTATGTCACTTTGTGACATACCTTTTAAAGATGTTATGTGCACCAGAAAAAAGTCTCGTGAAAAAGCCGGCTCTTTTTTTCTGGTGCTTCTCCAATTCGCTCAAAAGGCAGTGGACGATTATATCGTCAACGACCTCGTGCTCCATGAAGCCCAGAGCCCATCCGGCAGAACATTCACAGGTAGTCCTGAGGTCCCTAAAAACCTTTTTTGTGAGTCTAGGGACCCAGTCCACCTGGATTTCTACCGGATGGCCCTCGATGGCAGCATAGATGTTATTAACCATTCGCTCCTGTACCTCCATCAGGGAATCAAAACACCTCCGTGTCTTGGACTCCCTGATGCCTAGACACAGCAACGACTTAACAAAAAGTCGCACTGTGTCCTTGCTCTGCTCCTCTAAGGACGCCCTCAGTCCCTTGGCGCGTCTTGCTGTCACCAGTTCGTGGACGATACTGATGACAGCTCGCACCAAGGAACTGAGACCTAAGCCCGGCCGAAGAAGAGACACAGGGTCTTCTTCATCCACCGGAGAGTGTGCTGCAGTGATGAGATGCTTCAAGAAAAGCATGTCGATCACTGCAGCACACTCTCCGTGGATGACCGTGTCGTCTCCCATCGCCCGGGCAAAGGCCTGAGAGACCTGGCTACCAAACATAACTTTTAGATCACCATATTCGTAGCCCAGGTTCTCAGAAACGTCCTTTACCAAGTTGGAGAAAACGTCTGTCAAATATCGGACCAGGTACCTTGTCCTCTCTGTCACTCCCTCGTCCTGGTACAAATGGTCCAGGTCTAACCAGGCCTCTTCTTGAATTTGACAAATATATTCTTCAATTGCCGGGATAGTGTTCACATTGATTAAAAATCGCATTTCTCTTCTCAGATCCATTGTTGCTGAACTCATCTTCACTCTTCTACAACTGTCTTGAACCAACTGGAGTTATTTATACCCAGTGTTACACAACAAAGCATGTGACATCACAACCTATGATGTCTCAGCACAAGAATACAGGCAGCGCTGTGACGTAATGGGCCAACAAATCAAGTGTTCTGACGATCTGTGCGACCTCGGCACTTTGTCTTAACGGACCTCTTCTTTCAGTAACGAGTAATCTAATGCGTTACTATTTCAAATGCAGTAATCAGATTAAAGTTACTTATCCAAATCACTGTTCATCACTATTTTCTTTTGTAATGTAATGTTATTTCCTCTATGCGTCTTGGGGAGCGACCACCGTTTCTATGCAACAGTTGTCAGCAGCAACAGAAACGTAAACAATGGAGGGAGGAGAGAAATGCGCATTTTGTTGCTGGACAGTCAGGAACTCTTTTGAGTTTCTGTCAAGTCCGGTTGTTCTGAGTGATTTTAGGCTTATTTATTTATTTAAATCTCGGGTTGTGCATTTTCTCGGTTGTTTCTAAACACGAAGTTGCACATTTGGGCCTGGAAATAAGCAGAGACACATAATGAGACCAGGATGTTGTCTGACGTCCAGGAAGTTTTACTTCACCATTTCTCGGGTGAACAGGGAAATGTTCATCGGTCTCTCCTTGTTAATGTAAAGCAGTGGCGTATCTTGCCCATCCCTAAAACTGTACGTCAGCACCCCTGAATAGCCACCCATCCTGTAAAATACAGCGTCGTCCCGTATTTGGCCGTTAAATGTGCGTCCCGTATTGAACCGACACATAACTGTCCGATAGACACGCCTATAATAAAAATAAACACTAAGTTTGAAAATAATGGCCAAAATAAAACACAGGCAATATTACGGTCAGCTACACTGTCGTGGCGGGAGCTGAAGGACCCCTGAACGCCACGGACCGACGCTGAACGTCACGGTTGCCTAGAGACGGACACTGCGCAGCCGCAGTGAGCTATCAACCTGCGTCTTTTTAAAATGTCCTCTGCCTGATTCCATATCCGTAGAAGAAAAAACGCTGTAAAATACAGACGTGAGTGAAAAGACGCGCATTATCAGCTGAACCATTCAGTGAGGATGGATGCTGTGTAAATATAAAGACAAAACAAAGTGTCCGTCATGGCGCAGTTGGCTGCTGTGTAACAGACAGAATGGATCAGGAGAAGAACCGCAGACCCGTCAGAACCTAAAGAATCAGAAATCAGCATCTCTTCATCCTCTGATATGGCACAGAACATTTTGATTCAGTATCTTATTGTGATTTTAGTTTGATTATTATTATTAGGATGCTGAGTTTGGATATTTAATAAATAGCATTAGCCAAAAATAAGTGCCCAGTTAAAGAACAAATCATACTAACAGATTAACACTAAATACATAAATATTTTCTACATGACATTAATTTCTGTGTGTTTAGCAGTTTCCAATCAATTAAGAAAAAAACATACTAAGCAAAAGAGCACCAGAGCCAGACCTGCGGGCCAGTGGCGGTTCTAGACGGCCACTGACGGTTTCTGAAGAAATTACACTAAATAAATGTATTTTTAAAATATTTAGTGGTTGATTTTTTAAAAAACCTTCACAATTTTATTTTAACAATGAATTAAAATTACAGTGCTGCACTTTTAGCAGCTGTATTGAGGTAGGATCATCTAAAACACCTCTACTTTCTAAAGCTCTAGGGGTTCTCTCCCACGTTTATTTGCATGTAGAGCGGGACATGCAGTTTCTCTCCCGCTGCAACGTTTCGCGCTATAGTTTAGGTGTTGGCAGCGCCATTCGTCTAACCCCCCCCACCTGGCAGCTCTCGCTTCCATCTGTCTTTCAGTTTCAGACATTAATTACATCCCTCTGCAGAGACAAACGCCTCGTTGACGAGTTAAAGGCGTTATCAGCGGCTTTTGTAGACTGTGCGTCTCTGTGGGAGTTGGAAAGAAGCAGCAGTGCAGCCCAAAACTATCTGCAGAAGAGCAAAGATTGTTGCTAAGGACGACGAGTTACTCGTTTCAAAATCCCTGGCGTCCAAATTGTGTGTCTGTGTACAAAATAGTTATTTTTGTCGGACAAATGTCCCCTAATTAATAAAGGTAATAACCATGAAGAATGGATTTAATACAACGACATGATTTGGAGTATTGCTAGTGTTTTTGTTCCCATCTCAACGAAAGAATTAAGCATTACTGACGGTTTCTAACAGTGATTTACTGATACATGTTGTAATACTTTTTTGTTCCCAATATTTCTGATGCGTTTTATATCTCTTCATAAACAAGATTATAAATACTATGTGAAGCAACTTTGCGTGTTTTTTTTCTGGAGATTGCGGTGTGTTCGATATTGCTGAATATTATTATTATTATTAATATCCACTTTCCACACAAAAAACACATCTGTCATATGGCCATAGGGCTAGTCGACAGATGCGTGTTTTGTATAAATGGGATTTTCGACATCCTAAGTTAGGAAGCAGGGTGCGAAAACACGTGCAGAGTGAGACCTCTTTTTTTCTTCAAACCCTATCTTGAAATGAGCGCGCCGGCTACCCCGCCACCAAAATCAAAGGCGTGGCCGTTCAGCCTCTCATTCCCTAAGAAGCTCAGAGCGCAGTGCTGTTGATTGGCTGGAGCTCGGCGACGTCACCGGCCAACGCGGTTTCCTATTGGCCGGAGCAATCCAGCTGCTTCAGAGCGCCAGAAAACAAGCTTGAGCGGGTGTTGCTGTTCAAGCGGTGCAGTAGTACACAGCGTCCGCTCTCTGTATGACACGCCGGACACACATAAGCGGTTAGGAGTTGCCCGCTAATTTTAAAGAGGGAAAGAAGCGGCGATGTTTGGCTGAAGCGACTAACGCAGTGACAAGACTGTGGCCCACATAGGAATTCATCATTTATTTCAACGGTCACAAAAAAAAAGGTGAATAATTGTGCATTTCTTCCAGTTGTTTCCTGTTATCTGTGTCAAGGTATGTTGCTCCACTGACCTAATACCTTCAGCTAAGTAGACAATTAAAGTTATGTTTGACCTTTTTTACTATGTGTAAGTCACAAATAAAGTATTTTTAGTTCATTAGTAGCGCATGCAGTGTAAGTAATTAGGATTAATTTAGCCGAACTGGCCCTTTTCTAGTTGATATCGTTAGCGGGATAAGTTGCGTTTCAGATCAGATTATACTTTGATTTTTTGCAGTGTAATAACACATTAAAGCCTCGCTCATACGGCACGGGTTATAACCCAGCAGGTTAAGCTTAAAACGTGTCAATAAGGGGGCGAATTAGCTTGCTGTTAGCCCGCTAGTCACCAGATGTTTGCGCCAAATTCTCCTGAACGTCTCGCCTGACATTAAAGCTACCGTGCTCTTCCGCGGTGTGTCTCTTTATTACTAGCCAGCGTACAACGACGGTAAGAACAGATGGGTAACGAAGGATGGATCACATTTAGAGGATCTGCTAAAAGTAAAAGTTTTCAAAAGCATGCAAAAGTGGTACTTCTGGTTTACATTCAGTTGGGTCGATGACATCACAAGAGGGAGGGTCAATAGTCTGGATTTTTGATCAACTTGGGGGATTTATTCTCAGAGCTGAGATCTGTGCATTAAATCACATCTGAGTATTTTTGAGTTTGAAAGGGGAAAAAAGGCTGTTGCATAGGTAATAAACTGCAACTAAATGTCGTTTTGTGAATTCAAGCCTGAGCACTGTTCCTTTTTTTTTTTTTGGCAGGTTTTCCAAATGGAGGTGGAATGCCTGGCACTGAAAGACCTCACAAGTGTGGGGAAAAGTTTCTCTGTTCCTAAAGAAGATGGGAGCCAAGGTGAAAAGGTGGGATTTCCAACTTTGAGTTCACCTAAAACGCACAAGTACAAGCATTCCTGATTCTTACCAAACCCTCTCTTGCAGGAAAATGTGTGTTTAGAGAGGAGGAGGTCCACTCCGCTGAAACCGTCGGAGTCCAGCGTTCCCGTTTTCCTGGTGAGCCGGAAGGCGTCGACCTCCGACCTGGCCCACATCACTCCCATTAAGTGTGCGGGCCTGGCCGAGCCGTGGTCGCCCACTGCCAACCTGAAGGTGCTCATCAGCGCCGCCAGCCCGGACATCAGAGACAGGGAAATGAAGAAGGTTCTGTTCAGACCTATAGAGAACGACAAGGATCAGGAAGACTCACAACCAGCGGTGGAGGATGCAGAGGTAGAAGACCCAACTCAGGTATTTGGAAAGATTGGTACCAAGCTAAAACTTGATAAACATGATGTATTAAGGGATGGAAAACAATTGTGGAGTCTTCTTATATTTATTTTTTGTACTTTTTTTTTTAGTTTGAAGGGGCTTTTGAGGAAGATGATGCAGAGAAGAAGCCGAGCAGGAAGGAGAAGAGCCTGGGTCTGCTTTGCCAGAAGTTCCTGGCTCTTTACCCCGATGACCCACCAGCCCACAGCCCCATATGGATCTCACTGGATGAGGTCGCAACCAATCTGGGTAAGTGCAAGAAAGCGATCGGAAGAGCAGCTTTACCTTTTCTCAACCCGGGGACGATTTCATAAATTCCGCTACGGCTGCCAGGAGTGGAGCGCCGACGGATCTACGACATCGTCAACGTGCTGGAGTCGCTGACCATCGTGGGCCGGATGGCCAAGAACAGCTACACCTGGTATGGCCGACAGCGGCTGTGGAGCACGCTGGAGATGCTGCAGCAGAGGGGCCGGGAGCAAGGCTACCACCTGCAGATGGACCTTCCTGCCGAGGCCAGGAGGTCCGGACTGAGCCGGGAGGAAGATGGAGGAGATGGAGACGCGGGAAATGGTAAAAGAAAAAAGACAATCAGAGAAATACCAATGTTTTAGGCATTTGTTGATCAATTTGAATTTCCTCTCCTCAAATAGTGAAGAGGAAAGTGTGAACTTAAATCTGCTTCGTTCTGCAGGCGGGGGTAACAGAAAGGACAAATCTCTGCGCATCATGAGTCAGAAGTTTGTCATGCTCTTCCTGGTGTCCAAAACTCAAACTGTTACCCTGGACGCGGCGGCAAAGGTCCTCATTGAGGAGAGCCAGGACTCCTCGAGCCACAGCAAGTACAAAAGTAAGAAAGAATCACAACGCGTCGCACTGTTTTGGTCCAAAATCG